GAAAAAGAAAATAACATGTATGGAAATTCCACATCCTACTGACAGATACGTATACCCATCTGAAGAAATGCCGATTATTTAAAGTATAAAAACTCAGAGCTAATATTATGGTAATTATTAGCAGGCTACCGTAGCCAGGCTACAGTTAATGGCTACTGACCTTTCCTCCCACTTAACATTTTAGATCACTTTCGCGTATAAGTGTATTAAATAGCAAAGAACGTTCTACTTTAAATAGCCGTTTGTAAGAAATACAGCCATGGAGACTTTGTTGCATGTTACTTGTTCTTCAAAGCACTTCTAAATTTATGAATGAATACCTTCAATCGTACGTAAAATGCTTCAAAAGCACATAAATAAAGATATTAGGTAAGTGTTTTTTTTTAGTAACACTGGGAAATGTTTTTAACCTTCATTATTAAATTTATTATTAGATTGCTAGTGAATATTACCTGGATTATGCCGTTTCCGAGTTACTTTTTGCCTCCGTCAACGAGTCTTAGTGCAAAACCTTTTAAATGAAAATGAGTTGATTTGCCTGAAAATGAAGTTGTAGTCGGAGCTCATTTCCATATGAATGGTTTCGCTCAAAGACTCGTTTTGACACAGACTCAGAGGCAAAAGGTAACTCGGAAATGGCCTACTGGGCCACCAGCAAAACCACTATTCTTAGTCGTCATTTCAGTATCTTCTCTTAAATGGGACAATTGGAGCAATGAACTTTTCAATAACAAGGTTCACAGTTTAAGCTGTCTCAATTGTGCAACTGGCAATAATAAAAAAAGAGTTACAGCTCGAGATAGCTATTGTATGCGTTATGCAGGACATTAAATCATTGTATCGTTATGATGCGCGTAAAAGCTCGATGGAAGCTATAGTAGCGTTCCCTCAAACCCATTTTATTCCCCAAACCCATCGGTTTAAGTATCGAATATCGACTTACTAATATTCGAATAGTTTTGACTTTTCTGAATTTCATAGGACACAGGTAATCTCATAAGATGTCTGTATTTGGAGGTTAATATTGGCGGCTACTTTGGAGACCTTCACTGAGATTCATTGAGTGAAATTTTTTTTTTAGAATTTATGGCTCAAAAGTCGAAAAGATTTAAATGACGCGCCACCAACTGAAACGGAAAATATTTTTGCGTGTACAATTCCTCGGCGTACTTTAAAGTAATGTGTATTTTTCGTTACGATAATATATTTCCTCCCAACTAGCAGGCAATATTAACCTCTTACCAACCGAGTGCATGCGAGGGCCGTATTGGACAATATTGACCGAAGTCGAGGCGCGGTACGGACCGAGCGCAGCGTGGTCCGTACAAAAACGGCCGGAGGTCAATATTTCTCCAGTACGGCTGGAGCAAGCTAGGTTAGTGAGTGGTTTAGTAAGTGAATTTATCGGTTTTCGAAAGCCAAAAAAATACAGGGCTAATGACCGTTTCCATGAGAACGGTTCGTAAGGCAACATCTCGACCAATTGAGAGCCAATCAGAACGCTAGGATCTACCTCTAGAAGCTTCAAGACCACCTTGCCTTATGGTTAAATGTAGTACCGCATTTACCTTATAATAAAAAT